AGGGTATGGACAGTGGTTTTGCAGGGGGAGAAGATGAAATTTACAACGTTTATGATCAAGCCTGGAGAGGTGGTAAAGATATGGCCCAGAATATTTACAGGCCCAGTAAAAATCTGGACAAGGACATGTATGGTGATGACCTAGAAGCCAGAATAAAGACCAACAGGTACCAAGGCAGACAGCTCAGTTTCACTGTTTGCACCAGTGAAAACAAAGTAGTTCATAGTCCTTTCTTTTTTTCCCTAGATTTGTTCCCGATAAGGAGTTTTCTGGTTCAGACCGTAGGCAAAGAGGCCGAGAAGGACCAGTTCAGTTTGAGGAAGATCCTTTTGGTTTGGACAAGTTTTTGGAAGAAGCCAAACAGCACGGTGGCTCTAAAAGACCCTCAGATAGCAGCCGCCCCAAGGAACATGAGCATGAAGGCAAGAAGAGGAGGAAGGAGTAGATACACCTCTCTTCAAAGTGAATGAACTTTTATCCATAACCCTAATGATGCAAGTCAGATGGGCAAACACTTTGTAAATGGCCAGGATAAAAACCAAATCTGGGTGTCAGACCCCAGCACTACTTTTTATTACGGGAGTAAGGGGTGGGGGGGGGATGGAAAATTCTTTGAACTATTTAGTTTTTTTTAAAGAGTGGATTGTGTTTGTGCTTCTCCTACCTTTTGGCATTTATAGAACATACTGCCCCACACATGAAATTAAGACCACTTCCTTTTATGTGACATTAGTACTTTGGGGTTAATATTATGTGTAAGAATGACTGCTGATGAATAAAGTTGCCCCAACCACAGGGAGTAGGATGTTCACATACTGGAACTGTCCTGCCAAATGACGTTTGCCCCTATTACGCTCTGTTTTAATTTGGAGTGGGGAAAGTAAGCTCTTGCTTGGTGCAACTATTTGTTTCAAATAAAAACATTTAGAGAAAATTTTTAATTTTGTTTACTTTAATAGGTAGTAATAGTCTCAAAAATCTTTCTCTTCATCAGATGTTTGATCCCCTTGCAAAACTTTTGGTCTTTGAGCTTGAACGTGGAGCTAAAAAAAATCAAATAAGCATTGTAAGGAAAGACAGTATCTGCAAAAACTTTCAACTGAAAATTGCCACTTTAAGACTGCCTATTTATGAGGGAGTCAGCACCAGTAAGTCAAGAGGATGTTATTTGTTCCCTGGTCTTAAGACTAAATCAGTTTAACCCAAGGTTGCATAGTAAGTGGCAAAGCCAGGATTTCAACCCCAGTCTCCTTACCTTGTAAGTAAACTGCTGTTCTGTGTTAGAATATACCTTGCTAACTATTAAAGGGTCTTCCTAAACTACCCTCCCCAGACATTTCAGAACGGGCACTCTACCACCACCACCATTCTTTAACCAATATTAAGGGAACTTCAGTTACAAATCTCCCAATGTCCTTTTCATTCCATACTTCTGACCTTCTAAACTGATGATATACAGAAAGCTCATGATGTTATACAGAAAAATAATATTTACCTTTACTCCATCAAGAATATGATTTTCTTGCTGTAGTGCATTCTGAAGTTCTTCTTCTGAAGAAAACTGAATCCAACCCATACCTCTGTGAAATCCAGTCTCTTTGTCCTAAAAATTCAAAATTTAGAAAAGATTAATCATGAACTGGAGAAAGTTTCCATAAGTTCCAAATCAAATTACCAACTTTTTCATCTGCCAAAATGGGATAACTGACATTTTAATAAATGTCAAAAACCTTGCTTTGATACATACTTACTCTCCTAGTTATCAAAGGTTAACCCTTGTGTTAATCTTAACATTTTGCTTTTCTGCTGCCATTGGAAGAAGTAAAATACGGGTAGTGAGGTTTCTGTCATTCGAGATACAAACTACACTAACAATAATAAAGGGACTTTTTTTTTTAATTTTTTTTTTTAATTTCATTTATTTGACAGACGGCAAGAGAGGGAACACAAGCAGCGGGAGTGGGAGAGGGAGAAGCAGGCTTCCTGCGGAGCAGGGAGCCCGATGCGGGACTCGATCCCAGGACCCTGGGACCATGACCTGAGCCAAAGGCAGATGCTTAACGACTGAGCCACCCAGGTGCCCCAATAAAGGGACATTTTGATCACATAAAGAAACCCTCTTACTTCCTCACTTTTAGAAACTAAAAAATTAAGCCTCAAAACCTAGTTCATTTCTGGTAATTTTGGAGACCAATTACGCTCATCACCACCACTACCATTATAATTATATAGTCCTAATGAAAAATAGAAAATATATATATATACATTACCCTTATTTACCTAGCTCCAGACTTACAGTAACGCTACTTCCCTTTGTGCAAAAGGCAGAGTGCTTATCATCCAATCTATACACAGCACATGTGGAAAAGATTCTAGTGTGTTTGGATGCACCCTGCCCCCACCCGACCAACCCGACTACTTAAGAACGGATATAAAGATGTCTATTCACTCAGTGTACCTCATCAGTTTTGTTACAAAGTTATGTTGTGCTCTGCACCACCCCCCAAACCAAATTTTTAGAAATTGCCCCCATATTTAAAAGGTGACTTTTTAAGTCTTAACCTAGACTGCAGTAAAAGTTTCTGGTAATATCCCAGTGATTCACTTCTTACCTCAGATAGCTACAATTTCTCCTCTACTTCCATATGGCCATTTCTGTAAGTAAAAGCCTTAAAAAATTTGTGTTTATGTAAAACTTAGGTACTATGTATCTAAGATACAGGAACCTGGATTTCTGGGCGCCTGGGTGCCTCAGTCAGTTAAGCATCTGCTTTTGGCTGGGATCAAGTCCCACATCGGGCTCCCTGCTCAGTAGTAGCCTGCTTATCCCTCTTCCTTTGCCTGCCGTTGCCTCTGCTTGTGCGCTCTGACAAATAAATAAAATCTTAAAAAAAAAAAAAAAAACTTTTCTCCTGTTACATTTTACTTAGTTTTAGCAAGAATCAAAGTTTTCTTTTGTTTAAATCTAAGATGTTAACTCCAGGTCCTAAATAATCTTGCTTATACTTTTAAGAATGAAATGGCAACCAAGAAAAATGTGTTACTATTTTTGGAGATATTTTTAAGTAGGTTCCACACCTATCTAGCGTGGAGCCCAAAGCAGGGCTTGAATTCACAACCCCTGAGACTGAAACCTGAACTGAGATCAAGAGTCAGACACTTAATGGACTTAGCCACTCAGGTGCCCCAGGAGAAGTTTTTTTAATGCTCATCAAAAAAAGAGAAATTTCATCCTCTTTGTAAAATTGTAGTTTTTAAGCTTATAAACATTTTTGTGTAATAGTTGTGCCTCGTTCTTTTAATCAACTATTAAAACTCCACTGTATCAATGAATTAATACCTATTTAATCCCATTAATGAACATTTAGGTTCCTTCCAGTTATATTATTAAACAATGCTGCTTTGAACATTCTTGACCACACCATTTCTATAGAATAAATTCCTAAAAATGGAATTGCTAGATCAAAGCAAATGCAAATTCTTAGTTTTGATTTTGCCAAACTACCCTTCAGAAATGAAGTAAACTTCTGAACAATCTCAGTGCCAGCTTCCCTATACCCTCACTAGCACCAGAGACGAGTAATCTATTAGATCCCTGGAATGCAACTAACATGAAATCAAGAGTTAAGAATTTTAATTACTTTAGGTTAATATTTTCCCATAGCCTTTTCAGTGCCATGAGGAAAAAAGGGGCAGTTTTAGTGAAGCAGCTGAAGTGAACTATAGTGTACTCCCAACCCACCCCCAAAAACGCAGTAATTCTAGAAAGCCCCCAGACAAATACAGCCCAGGATAAAGTAGAACAAATTTAGAAACTGATTTCTAAATCTTCCTTAGAAAGCAAAGAAAATATAACAAATATAAAAACACTAAAAAAAAAAATACTCAATTTAATAAGGATAAAGTTTAAAATAGATATTCTCTGCCAATTAGTTTGATGATAAAATCATCCTCTAGTATCAAGTCCTTATTATAATACTGGAGTAGGCAGAATTCTAAGATAGTTCCATGATCTCCACATGTCCCACTATGTTAACCCTCTGAATAACCCCCTCCTCTTGGGTGTGTGAGGGACCTGTAACATGCTTCTAACCAAAAGAATATGGCAAAAGTGATGGGATGCTGCTCCCCTGATCAGGTTATATAGCAAAGGTGATGTGATGTCACTCCCATGACTATGTTACAAGGCAGTCTTAACAGAATGGAGAAACTCCTCTGATGACTGAAGAAGTAAGCTGCCATGCTGGGAGACAGCCTACACACCTGCCAGGTAACAAGGAACTGCAGGTCCCTACAAGCTGAAAGCCAGCAAAAAAAGTAGATATCTCAGTCCTACAGTTCAAAGATGACTTCTGTCAACAACCTGAGAGAGCTTGAAAATCAGTCTTTCCCAGTTGAGCCTTTGAGCCTCTGATGAGACCAAAGCCCCAGCTCATGCCTGACTGCAGCTATGTGAGACCCTGAGCAGAGGACCCAGCAAGGCTGTGCCCAGACTTCTGATCTGCAGAAACAGTGAGTTAATATATATGTGTGTTGTTTTGAGTCATTAAGTGTGTGGTAATTTGGGGCACCTGGGTGGCTCAGTTGGTTAAGCGTCTGCCTACAGCTCTGGTCATGATCTCAGGGTCCTGCAATCGAGCCCCACATCAGGCTCTCTGCTCAGCTGGGAGTCTGCTTCTCCCTCTCCTTCTCCCTCTGTGCTTTCCCTCTCTCTCTCTCAAATAAATAAAATCTTCAAAAAAAAAAAAAAAGTGTGTGGTAATTTGTTATACAGGATAAGGCTTTTTTTACTTTTTAATCACTATCACCCACAATTTTATCAATAAACACTATGAATAGCTTCACTCCATTAAAAGTCATATAAGCTGATATGCTTTAACAAACAGTCAAGAGTTCGAGGATAAAATTAGAAGATCAATAATTAAAAGATAACATTTTTTTAAAAGATAATACTCACAAAGGGTACAGTGCACTTTCGTACATGGCCAAACTGTGCAAAGTGTTCTCTCAGCTCACCTGTATAGGAGGAGAAAACATGTTAAAAGTAGTTAATTTATTAGTTAATACATTTGGGACACCTGGCTGGCTCAGATGGTAGAGCATGTGACTTCTGATCTCAGGGTTGAGTTCAAGCCCCACGTTGGGCATAGAGATTACTTTAAAAAAAAAAAAAAAGTAGTTAATGTATTTTGTATCCTCCATCCTAGACTGGGGACCTCGAGTCCCCAAACTTCTTGTGAACAGGAACTACCATTTGCATTTCCTTGAAGCCTTAAGATTTAGGAAGTAGCTATGGTATTGACTACAGATCTTCCTCAAGTTATGATGGGGCTACGTTGATAGAACTGTCATATATTGAAAATATCCTAAGTTGAAAATGCATTTAATACACCTAACCTACTGAACATCATACTTAGCCTAGCCTACCTTAAACATGCTCAGAACACTTACATTAGCCTACAATTGGGCAAAACCATCCAACACATAGCCTATTTTATAATAAAGTATTGAATTTCTCATGTAATTTATTGACTACTGAAAATGAAAACCAGAATGGTTATATGGGGACAAAATGGCTGTAAGTCTATCAGTTGTTTACCCTCGTGATCACATGGCTGACTGGGAACTGTACCTTGCTGATGCTGCTGCCTCGCATCACAAGAGAGTATCATACTGCCTATCACTAGCATGGGAAAAAAATCAAAATTGAAAATTTGAAGTACACTTTCTTTAGAATGCCTATCACTTTCACACCACTGTAAAGTCAAAAAACTGTAAATCAAACCATTGTAAGTCAGGAACCATCTGTATAAAGCTGCAATGCGCCAGAGATCTGGGGAGATGATTGGGTGGGGGCATACACAAATAAATTGCTGAGTTGACTATACTCATCACTCCCAGCAGATAATGAATGTCTTCATCAGTTACTGTACTAGGTGCATGGATAATAATCCCTGTGAGAAACTCACACAGAAGACAGATCATTAAAATACAGTAAGTATGTTGCTAGCCATATTAGAGATTTTCAAATAAAAGCTCAATTTACTTCCCTTTCATAAAGTTTACACTCGGTTAAATAGTTGACACTCTAAAATTTGTTGAGATGACCCTACTTACTCTTCCTGCCTTATTACCCATTGCTGGCCCATAGTTACTCTCTAGTATGGCAACTGAAATTCTATGTATCTGTCCTATGGATTCCCATCTTTGCCTGTCATTCTTTCCCCTTGCTATGTCAGTAATCCTATTTCTTGCTGCTTAATTGTAACTATCCTTCAGGACCCTGGCCAAATATATCCACTGAACATTATTTTATTGGGCTTCTACTGCAATACAAGGCAATGTACTATCCCTGTGAGGCCTCAAAGATGCATAGTAGATAATCTTAAAAAACTACCTGATCTCTTCTGAACTGCAGTGCTTATACTTTCGCTGATCTATATTTTGTATTACTGGGTTATTTTCCCCTAGTTCATCTAAACCTCACTGGTTCAACAACTGCCTGTATCTGTTTTAAGTCTCCTCACCCTCACCACTACACCATAAACTCCCTGAGTGTTGAGTCCACTATGTCAACAGTAATTGAACACAGTAGGGCAATATTTGCTGAATAAATAAATGCCTAGTAATCCTTCAACAACCCACGGGGACTAAATTTCTGAAGAGCTCTAACAGTTGGTCAAACCATTCAGCAAATTCAGGACCTCATGGATCAGCATCAGGACAAACATGTTGTTTAACACTAAACAAAATAGTGTTAAATATGCATGTTTTAAACCAGGTATTAAAAATTCTAGAAAACATTCACTTCCAAAACAAACGAGCTCTGGAAGGTAACCCTCTTCCCAATTACCTATAAGTGCTACGGGAAAACTGCTGCAAGAACAATGCCAACCACAAACAGATACTCCTGAAATATTTGCTGAATGTATCAATGAACTGAAACTGCTTCTAAGTTGTATGTTACACAGACTCTTTTTATGAGTTTTAAACCAACCCATTATGGTCTGGAAACTTGCAACTGCAAGATGAAGGTGAAATCCCTGTGCCTTTACACAGTTTCACAGGGCCTAAGCATGACATTGTACTGCCTAGATCTTCATCTGCTACGTATTAAGAAGGTGGGGCCCAAACCAATCTATTTCCCATTCTACTACTCACACCTGGGCCACAAAAGCTAAGAGGTAAGTAATCCCCAATTCCATTCTTTTGTTTAAGGGAGATGACCTGATACATGAATACCTACAAAAGTGACCGTGGATCTTTAATTTTTGGTAAGCAAATGTAAAAACCTTTTTTCAAAACTGCAACTGACAAAAATCAATGTTGGTGAGAGATTTCAATACTGATTACTCCCAACCCTCTATCTCCAGCCTAGGCCTCTCCCATGAGCTTCAATTATAGTAATCACAAAAACGACTATCATTTATTGAGTATTTAGTCTGTATCTAGCACAAGTCTAAGTGGTTTACATATAAACTCATTTAATCCAATCAAAAATCCTGTCAAGAAGGTATTACTGACTCCATTTCATAGACGAAACTGAGGTACAGTGGTGAGCCCTTTTCCCAAATTACCTCCCGTGAAACGGTTACACAACTACTAAATGGCCAAGGTGGAATTCTAACCTAGGCAGCATGGCTTCAAAGTGCACTTCTCAATCAATGATACACAATCTCCTTTGTTCACCTGCCTGACGGAGACCTCACAGGTTTTTCTCAAACTCAACACATTTAAACTTTACTCATCTTCTTTAAACCTGCTTCCCCTACATTCTAACCACGATATTCTCCAACGCTAAAAACCTGGAAGTCGTTCTTCCCTTTCCCTCCCGTACTCTGACCCCATTCAAGCCATCGCGAAAAACCGTTGATTTTGTTTTGTTAACATAAGTGAATCTGGCCCCCTTTTCACCACTACCCTATTTCAGGTCCTCGTCTTTGGCCTAAATTATTGAAATTGCCTTTTAGCGAGTCTCCTTGCCTTCAATCTTGCCAGTTTGAATCCATCCTTCACACCACTGTCAAAATAATCCCTTCTAAATCGTAAATCTTAAGTTTTCAAGGAACGAACGTTCCACCGAGTCACTCTGGAAAGGCAGGAGACCCTGAATACGTGCCGGAAAAGCTCAAGGGGCATCCCTGAACGATTCACTGAAAACAATTTTTTATTTCTGCTCACTGGCTTGCTCAGGAGCCACAGCTCTTAATACAGCCACCACGCTGACTTAAGTATTCCGCCGAAAGCAGTGCTTTCTTGAGGATCGCTTGTACCTAAAACTTCCGCCCCAAACACGTCTCCATCACTCACTCGAGGCCGCGGTCCAGGGAATTTTTCTGACAAAAGCCACGGGCCGGCTAATACTCGTACGCAGCGCCACAGCACCCCTCACTGCAGAAGCCGCCATTTTTAGATCGAGGGGTTCTGTGACCTGTGGTCGCGACCCCGGAAGACTCTGGCGAATCTGGGGCACGCAATCTGCTTCCGGGTCAGAAGAGGCCTGACACTGACATGGGGAAGATGGCGGCGGCCGTGGGCTCTGTAGCGACGCTGGCGGCAGAGCCGCGGGAGGACGCCTTTCGGAAGCTTTTCCGCTTCTACCGTCAGAGCCGCCCTGGGACCGCAGACCTGGGAGCGGTCATTGACTTCTCGGCGGCCCACGCAGCCCGCGGGACGGGGCCTGGTGCCCGCAAGGTACGGACAGAGGAGCGACCCGCGCCCCCGGTCGCCTCGCCTCGCTCTTGGAGGGGCTTCAGGGTCCTCCTCACCTCTTTTCGCTTCCAGACTGTTATTGAGTAATTCCCGCTCTCAGTGGGCGCGGAGTTTAACTGTCCACGAAGCGTCACACTTTGGCGGTGAAGAGCTGTGCTGCCGGTTTCTCCACGCGGCCATTAGTGGCCGCGGCCTCAAAGAGTGCCTGGGAATTGGTGTTCATTCCTAACATTAACTGTCCATTTGCATCTCTACTTCGATTTGTGTAAAAACCCATACATTGTATTCGTAGATGTTAGGATAGCGCTCTGCAGCTTGAAAAAAACAACTACCCGAGTAGTCCCTGAACAGAAAGGAATCGATGTTGTTGGTTAAGCCGTTGTCCATAAAACTGGTCCCTGTCGTCTCTGGGCCCTTTTAGAAAGAGGGCGTTGAGAGATTGAGATGATTTCTCCACGTTTGAAAGTAAAAGGCAAACGAATCCAAACACTATCCATTATTTCTACCTTTCCCCATGGAAAGTAAGAAAAGCAACATAAAGGAGGACAGGGGGCACAGGGAAAATCGCAGCTATACTATAATGCGTAATTTCTTTACAGTCGCTGTAACACTGAGGATCCCTGGTCCCTTAATTTGGCCTTGGTGTTGTCCACAGATGGCTGGATGAAGGATTATTTAGTATAGCTCTCAAAATTGGAATGCTGTAGTAGCACAGTATTTGTCTAGAACTCAGCTTCTTAGGAACTTCCTTTGTTAGCAGAAATGGTCTTAGAGTTGTCAGAATAGCATGCAGAAAGTCAGCTCTCTAAGAATAATGTACATGGGTCAGATCCTCATTCAGCTCCTTTTGCCTATATTTTGCGGCAATACTTAAATACTTTTAGAAGGGGCGCCTTTGTTGCTCATTCAGTTAAGCATCTGACTCTTGATTTCAGCTCAGGTCATGATCTCAAGGTAGTGATGTCGAGTGCCACATCAGGCTCCGCACCGAGAATGGAGCCTGCATAAAATTCTCTCCTCCCTCTGCCTACCCTGCTGTGCTTGCACGAGCTCTCTGTCTCTTAAAAATACTTTTAATCAGGGCGCCTGGGTGGCTCAGTCGGTTAAGCGGCTGCCTTCGGCTCAGGTCATGATCCCAGAGTCCTGGGATTGAGCCCCACATTGGGGCTCCCTGCTCAGCGGGGAACCTGCTTTTCCCTCCCCCACTCCCCCTGCTTGTGTTCCCTCTCTCACTGTCTCGCTCTCTGTCAAATAAATAAATAAAATCTTAAAAAAAAAAAAATGCTTTTAGTCCCTGAGAAGAAAATATTGTCTAGCACCGTATCTAAAACAGTAAGGACTCAATAAATACACTATCCATTGAGTACATAAAAACTTGGGTGTTTAGGGGCGCCTGGGTGGCTCAGTCAGTTAAGCCTCTGGCTCAGATCATGAGCCCTGCTCAGCAGGGAGTCTGCTTCTTCCTCTCACTCTCACTGTGCTCTCCTTCTCTGTCTTTTCCTTTAAAAAAAAGACTTGGGTGTTTAGTTCTTAAGCTCAAAACAGATTGAAAGTAGCAAACTGGAGAAGAAAGTTGCTATGAGAGCAACTGATGAGCAGTGGAGAAAGTGATGGCTAACAGACAAGGGTGGAAGCAGGATTTTTTTTAAAGACTCAGAGGTTTGTTTCAGCTTAGCATGGAGAACAGGTCCACAGACTTACTTCAGATATGAGGGTGTTGCTGAATTACAGTGCATTATTAAGTATGGTCTATTTGAGAGATCATTGTAAAATGCTTGAAATAAAAACATCTTATCAGTACCTGAAACAATTGGCTGGTCAGGCCTCTCAGAGAGTTCCAGATAGCCATTTGATTACAGAGACTGGTAATACACAGCAACTAGTTGGTATTTTTTTCTGGAAATCTCTACACTTGGTGAAGTTGATAGGATAAGAGATACATCTTTTTGGAAGAGAACATTTGATGTATAACTAAGGCAAGCCAGACTCTTAAGTTTATTATTAATGGAGGAAAAAAGGTTTTTGTTTTCCGAATGTCCTTTAGTGACTGAATATTGGATCCCTTAACCTATTTAATGAGCCATCCATAAGATGCTCTTATATGCAAAGAAAACTTCATGAGCCCCTGAAAGACTTAATTTCTCAGTAATTAACAAAGGCAAAAGCTCTGAGCTTGTTTGAAGTTTCATCTAAAAGAGAATAAATATTATACTTTCAGCAAACAGGGTTTCCAGTTTTACTGAAACAGTTGTTCTGTCTGGTTGGAGCATTCTCTTAACCTCCCCTGCCTGATGTTCCTCATAGGTCTGTTTAAACACCAACTGTATACAAGTGCCTCAGAAGCATTATTGTTGGGCTGAATTGAGGTGAACAGAACTTTGAGGATATTTCAGTACATCTCTCACGATTTAGATCTTAAAAGAAATCCACAAAGGTGTGGGGTCATACAAAAAGGTAGTCTTGAAGGCCAAAATCAGCCTGCTTCTCATACTGCTTAATTTTATATTGCTTTCTAGTGTTTGTTAGTATATAGATGAAAAAACTGAGGCTCTAAGAAGTTAAGTGACTTATCTAAGTCTTACATCAAGTAAATGGTAGAACTAAGTTTAGGAGCCCAGACTTAGGACTCCTAATTTTGCCTCATACCAGAAATATCTTTAGAAGTTTGAGATTCTCAGATCTGACCTGCAAAATAGTTTTAGCACTCCAACTTCTCTTTCCTTCCTGCCAGGTGGTTAGATCTCAGCTGAGTGTATCTTCCGTCAGTGACCACGATGCACATAGAGCAGGACTTCAGCCAGTCAGCAAGTGGCAAGCCTATGGACTCCAAGGCTATCCTGGTGAGTGCGGCTGACCTCAGAAGACAAAATCATATAATCATTTGTCTAATTTCAGGAGAGGAGTTGTAAGCAGGTAAATAGACAAAGGGGAAAACTAAACACAGAAATATTTCACTCCCAAACTCCTTTTAAATCTGCCTCATCTAAGATTTCCATTTATTTAGCATTCCCAAAGGTTAGAACAGGAGTCAGTTGTGCCTACCTTAAGTGCAGAAAATGACACACCAGGTACAAATCAAAAATGAGCACCTTGACTCTGGGCTCCCTGCCACGACTCCAGACACCTGCTCTGGCAGAAGAACCGCTTTGAATGATGGAACAATTCATAATGGTCGCTCTAATCACAACATCTCTATGTTCTCGTGTGGCAAAAAAAAAACCAAATTAAAAATTGTTGCTATTATTAAGGCTGAGCTTTTGAAAAGAACATTAGTTAATGAGATCAGAAGCCCTAATAGACTAAATAATTTAGCATTTTGAACTTAAATAATATTGGGTAGCTCACCTTACAGATCTAGAAATTAAGAACATAATGAAAAACGGGTAATGTTTTTAATCTTTTTTTGAGTAAACGCTACCCCCAATTTGGGGCTCAAACTCACACCCCAAGATGAGCGTCGCATACTACTGACTGAGCCAGCCAAGCACCCTTAATCTTTTTTTCTTTTAGGATCATGGGGCCATTGTAGATTAAATATTATGAACTATTTAGAAAATAGAGGGGTGCCTGGGTGGCTCGGTCGGTTAAGCAGCTGCCTTCAGCTCAGGTCCTGGGATCGAGACCCGTATTAGGCTCCCTGCTCAGTGGGGAGCCTGCTTCTCCCTCTGACCCTCCCCCCTCTCATGCTCTCATTCTCTCAAATAATTAAATTAAATAAAAAAGAAAATACAGAAATGCCTTATTTGGTCAAATAATCTTTTATCTGTCATCCTTTTTCTTGGAGAGGACATAATGTTAACATTGTATTTTGTGATTTCAAATACAGATTAAAAGCAAGAAAAAAATCCCTAAAAAATACTAATTTTCATTATGTCATGGGCCAGGTCTGTGTTACAGCTCTTAATACATTATGACCACTGATATATTTGTTAATAACGTAGGATGGTATAACAGTTTCAATACTTCCCTAAAAGGCCTCGTGCACTTCAGTTCTTCGTGAAAGAGTAGTCAAATGATGGCTTTTATGTATGAAAGCGTGGCTTCCCGTGAGTTTGGGTGAATGAGGAGCGTGCATCACCAGTAGTCTTTTATGTACTTTTTGTTCTTGAAGGCTGCCCTTGACCTTTCAGGCCTACCTCCTGTTTTCAAGGCCTTATTTCTCTGTTTCCATGCCCTCTTTTCTTAACAAATTGTTAAGACCACAGAGTTATCAATCCCACTTTGGTTTATCTATTGTCCAAATAGGTGTATTGATTTTGAGGTTTTCTAGGATTTCACACTTAGGCCACATTTTGTGAGTTGGTACCTCATTATGTCCTTAGAGACTTCATTCTGTCTTCCCTGACATTTGAAGCTGTATTCAATAGAAGTGTAATGTCCAGAACATGGGAAATGACCGTCTCTTATTCAGACTTGATCAGAAGGATTGTGTTTACTTCTGGATTCTGCTTGTTTTGAAGGAACTTGAGTAACCACGACCTGTCCTTAAAAGAATGAGCAGGAAGTCATGGGTTTGAAAGAAGAGTAAAGCTGAGAGGGAACCTGACAGCATCCAACATTTGAAAGGTTGTCATACACACAAAGGGATGGGAGCATTATATACTAGTGGTTAAGGCCAAGGTTCTGACATGAGGCTACCTGGGTTCAAGTCGTGGCTGTACCATCCACTATATGACCTTGGGCAAGTTTCTTAATCTTTCTTGGTCTCAGTTTCCTGATAAGTAAAATGTGTATAAAAAGGTGCTCACTTTGTAAGGTTATTGTGAAGATTAAATGTGAGTACATTGTAAAGTACTTAAGCCCATGCCTGGCACATAGTAAATGATTGATAAATGTTAGCTAGAAAGCTAGAGGTATTTTTGAAGAATGAGAAACTAATTTGGGGGTTGCTCTGTGTGTTCAAACCTAAGATCAATGCATGAAAATTAAAAGGAGGCAAATTCAATAAAAGAAAGGCAACAGTTGTCTAGAGTGGACTGCCTAAAAAGGTTTTCATTTTCCTGTCACTGGGTCAGCGGTATTCTTCCTTTAATCTGATATTTTAGGGAATGTTATAATCTTTATTTTGTGAAATAATGCTGATAAGTGGGTAAGTTGGGGGGTTTTTTCATATCTTTTTTTTTTCCTCTCAAAATATTGACAGTTCTGTCACACTTCTAAATTACTTGGAGAATTTTGCTGGTGCATGAAATGCAGAAGTGGCCTCCACACTCAGAAAAAAATGTTCTTACTCCTGTCCTCCAATTTTAGAGGAATACCTTCTGTTAAAAGCCAGGCCCTTCACCTTTTCGATCCCACATTCTTTCACCCTGTCCAGCTTTCAAGACCTTGCTCTGCTCCTTTCCTCTCTTCTGTTTCAACCAGTTCCTCTCTGCTGGTTCTTTCGCATTATCTGTAAGCATGCTTCGGCCTTTCCCAACCCTAAAAATCATAAACTCTCCCCTTAAATTCTTTATTCTTCCATGACTGCTCTTCAACCTTTGTTTCCTTTCATAGCCAGGCTTCCACAAGGCATTGTCTGCGTAACAGTCTCTGCTGTCCCGTCTCCAGGGGCTTCACTAAGGACAGTTTTTCATCTCTAATTCTTTTTTTTTTTTTTTAAGATTTTATTTATTTATTTGACAGAGAGATAGAGAGAGAGCACAAGCAGGCAGAGAGAGAGGAAGAAGCAGACTCTCCACTGAGCAGGGAGCCCGACATGGGGCTCGATCCCAGGACCCTGGGATCATGACCTGAGCCGAAGGCAGATGCTTAATGACTGAGCCACCCAGGCGCCCCCATCTCTAATTCTTAAGAAAGTACATAGTGTGTGTTTGTTAAATGGATCCTTACCCTGCATAGAATTCCAGCTAAATATTGTTATTCGTCTTCGCCACAGGAGAAGAATGACATTAGATTACTTCCCAGGTCCCAGGAGATCTTTTCAGCACACATGCTGTAGGTATCTGCGTCATGCCATACTGAGCGGATGTACTTCACAGCCTCTTTCTTCCCTGTTCTGTCAGTCAGATTTCAATCATAGGCAGAAGTCACACCAGTTATTTTAGCTGAGGGAACTTAATATAAGAATTGTTAGCCAGATACTGGAAAACAAAGAAGGCCAAGGGGGGATGCTGAGCTATCACAGGTAGTAATTGCAGGAAGCAGCTACCACCTTTATAAACGATAAATACCTGGTGCAGATTTGAGCAGTGACTTTTGACATTACCAATTCTAAAGTTCGCTTTGGGGTAACAGTTGATGGTTGTGGAATATTTGTTTCTCTTGAGAATTTGTTTCTTTCTTCCCTTCCTCTAAAATTGGAGAATAGGAATGAGAACATTTACTTATAAATGTGGAAGCCACAAAACATGAGCAAAAGGGGATAGAGAATAAAGTAGTGGGTATAAGGATGTCAACAAAAATAAATTATCTCAATAACTGATGGAGAATTTCCTCCTCTCCTTTTTTCCCCACCTGTCCTTTTGTATAGGATTTATTTTTATCCCAAACCCCTTCCTCCCAGGTTACCAGTGGCACTGGGTGAAGCAATGCCTTAAGTTATATTCCCAGAAACCAAATGTGTGTAACCTAGACAAGCACATGACCCAAGAAGAGACTCAGGACCTCTGGGAACAGAGCAAAGAGTTTCTGAGGTAAGTGTTTGTATTCAACTCGGCTCACTGCATATCTTTAGGGGACCTACTCCAGAGCAATGCAGTGAAAGTAACTGACCTGTTTTTTTCCTTGTTTCCATGCAAAAACAGCACAATTATATTCTTTCCCCTGGGAACATCTGGACAGATGCTTGACAGTTACATTCAATTGAGATCCATTTTGAAGATTTCCTTATCATAGCTTGAATCTCGAGTCCATCCTCATTAATCATCAGCTGGTCCATTTTCATTCAGCTTCAGCCCTTTTTCTACTTAAAGTGAGTTCCAGGAGCACCTGGCTGGCTCAGATGGTAGAGCATGCAACTCTTGATTTTGGAGTTGTGAGTTCGAGCCCCACATTGGGTTTGGAGATCACTTAAAAAAGTAAAGTCTTTAAAAAAAATAATGTGAGTTCCTTTGAAGACTTGTGATATCCTGGAAAAATTTAACACTAAAAGCTCTTTATTTCTACTCTCCTAGATGAAGTCAGTGCTACTAGCAGTTTTTTAGTTATTCCTCATGAGAACTAATGTTTGCACCTTAATGTTGAATCAACCTTTACTCATTCACAAATATATAATTTTTTAAAGTCAGGTGCCCCATCATTCCACAAATATTTATTGAGGGTTACTTGTGTACCAGGCATGATGCTAAGCACTGGAGATAAACCATTCATAGGACACTGTCTTTGTACTCAGGAGTGCATAGTCTATGGCAGGAACTCAGTGTCAACAGGAATAATTCTAACAGAGCTTAGAAAGTGTTAGAGTAAGTGTTTAGAAAAATGCTATGGGGGCCAGAGGGAGAAATAATTCCTCTAGGCAGAAGTGTCAAAGAAGAAGAAAATATTTTTTAATTGGGTCTATTATCCTCTTTCTCCTCTGTCCATTTGAACTGGGTCTTCAAAAATGATTAGGAGTTTACCTATCAGAAGAGCAAGAAGGCTGTTTGGGGTAGAGAAAGCAGACGGAGCAAAGAGGTAATATTCAAGGCAGAGTAAGTTGTTCTGTGAAATAGTGTAGAATGTGGGAGTTCATGTGTTTATTCAACAAATACCTATTGAATTTCTACCATGCGTCGGATACTGTGCTTGAGTGTTAGAGATTCAATGACAGATAAGACACAGTTCCTGCTTTCAAGGAATTTGTAGGTTAGTTGAGGGCAGAGACATATAATTAAATAGTTTGGCAGGTACAGAGATAGAGTTTATAAGATATTATGGGAATAGTCACTCAGGTGGCCAGATTGGAGGTAGTTTATAGAAGATGCTTCCTGGAAGTGATGGATAGAATTGGCAAGAGATGAAGCAGAAGAAGTAGGCTAGGGCCAAACTATAAAGGCTTTAGTGACGGAAAGCACTAGGTCTAGAGTCCGATCTCCTGGGTTCACATCCCTGGTCTGCCACTTACTAGGTATGTAAATTTGAGCAAGTTTCTTAACCTTTCTATGCCTCATAGTAGTCCTTCCCTATTTAGCAGTGTGAGGATTAAACAAGGTAATATGCAAGAAATCTTCACAACAGGGCGCCTGGGTGGCTCAGATGGTTAAGCGTCTGCCTTCGGCTCAGGTCAGGATCTCAGGGTCCTGGGATCGAGTCCCGCATCGGGCTCCCTGCTCCTTGGGAGCCTGCTTCTCCCTCTGCCTCTCTCTCTTTCTCTCTGTCTCTCATGAATAAATAAATAAAAAAATCTTTAAAAAAAAAAAGAAATCTTCACAACAGTCCATTAAAACCACTGTGCTGGCTTTGTGTGTTCTATTTGGACTTAGGATCTCTAATGGTTGTTCTCAGAAACTGTCATACTAATTCCAACAGGGGAAATAGAAGATTTCCTTTAGTTGAAAGGGGAAAGGAAAACTCAAATTCATTGGTTTTCCTTTAAAGCCTTCTTGGTCTGCAGGTTATGAGAAAGACAGGAGCAGTGGGAAATGCCCTCTATAAGCTCTTAGTGATGTCTTCTTTAGAACTGAGAGTAAAGTAAAGGAAGGTCCTGGTTGAGTGAAATTAGAGAGCTTAGAGTTTGAGGTTAAACCACCCTGTGTTTTCAAGTAATTGATTTTTTTCCTTCTGACAAATGACTGCAGAAGTCCCAGTTGTCATCTTCTAAGATAATTCAGATGAACCTCTTTAATAAATCATCCTGTGAACAATGATGAGGGGCTTTTTTTGTTTTTTTGTTTTGGTTTTTTTGTCTTGCGAATTAGTAAAAATAAAAAATGTGGTGGTCCTACCTTCTGTTGTCAAGGGTTGGAAGAAAGTGGTGGCATCGAAAATCGATTAGGACACTAGTTCTCCTGTCACTGTGTGATATGTGTTTTGGTTTCCTCATCTGGGAAACAAAGGGATTGGACTGGATAAGCCATTTCAGGTGATTAGATTATGGTTGGAGTCACCTGGACAGTACGTCAGCTCTCACCACTTTCCCAGAGCAGGTCAGAAAGGGAGAGGGTCTGTCATTGAAGAAGATTCCCTAGAGATTCTGATTATTGACCATAATACCCACATTGAGAACTGCTGAGCCAGAGGCCCTCTAAAGATCCTTTGCATTTAACTTTCTAGGTTTCTATGGTCAAGGAAGAAGAAACTTTGAAGTAGGAAATGAAGAAATACTTGAACTTAGAGGGAAAAATAAGTCTGTTCACAAAAGTAGGACACCTCAGTTCTGTTTTGTTCAGAGTTTATTGTGAGTGAATAGTGTAGCTAGAGATTCTTGCACAAGATGACAGTAGTTAGGTGTAAGCAGCTTCATTGCAGCATTGTTCGTAATGGGAAAAAATGAGAAACAAGCTAAGTGTCTGTCAGCAAGAGATCAGCTAAATCAAGTAGGACATACCCCAGCAGTAGAATGCAGCCACAATACAGCCATTCAAAAATCTTAAATCCAACTCTTTAGCAAATACAGGAGGGCTACCATCATAATAAATAAAATCAATTTTCAGCATCTCCATCACGGCCGCCTTAGTCTGAGCCACCATCATTTACCGCATTAGCCTCCTAGCGTGTCTCCTTGTATCTGTTCTCATGCCTCTTCAGTCTGTTTTCTTTTTTTTAAGATTTTATTTATTTGAGAGAGTGCGTGCACGTGCATGAGCTGGGCGGTGGGGGACGGCAGACAGAGGGACAAGTAGACTCCCCTCTTGGTGGGGAGCCTGATGCAGGGCTCTATCCCAGGGCCCCCATGAGCCAAAGTCAGATGTTTAACTGACCAAGCCATCCAGGCACCCCTCTTCAGTCTGTTTTCTGATTGAGTGTAGAAATCCTGGCACTTCTCTTACAGTTTCTCATCTGCAGTACTGCAGTTCAGTTCTGATGCAGTCATTCAGCATTCAGAGTCGACAAGGACATCACAAGTTGAGGGCATGGTCTCCATGGTCTCCAACCAGGCCAGCCTGACTTAGGACACCAGCCACAAGTTTGGGAGATCCCAAGCTACCCACACTTCTGACCAACTGGTTACAAATTCAGGGGAGTTCCCATGACCCCCTCAGGTTCATAAGTCACTAGAACAACTCACAGAATTTAAGAAAGAAATTCAAGTATGTAATCATACTTACAATTACAGTTGTATTATAAAGGATGCAAATCAGGACCATCCCAATGAGGAAACATGTAGGGTGATGTCTGGGAGGGTCCTGAACGCAGAGCTTCCATGGAATCAAGATGTGTCACCTTCCCAGGAAGCTCTCCCAAACCTAGGATTCAGGTTTTTTTTTAGAGGGCTTCACTACTTAAGCATGATTGATTAAATTATTAGTCACATGATTTTTACCCAGCCCCTGAGGTTTAGCTAGTATCACTTGATTGAAAGCCTCAATCCCTCTAATCACATGATTAGTCTTTCTAGCCTGACAAGCTCACATCCTGAGTCATCTCCTTAGCATATACTTAGCTGTGGTCATAGGGCCCACTGTGAATAACAAAGATACTCCTATTCCTAGATACTAATATTATATTAGTTCGAGGTGTATAACGATTTGGTATCTATATATTGCAAAACGATTATCTTGGTAAGTTAAGTCACCTCACATAGTTATAAATTTTTTTTTTTCGTGATGAGAATAAGATTTACTCTTTTAGCAAATACACAATACAGTTTTGTTAACTATAGTCACCATGTTTTACATTAGATTCTCAGAACTTATTTATCTACACCCACCTACCCTCACCTTTGGCAGCTTTCAATCTTTTCTGTTTCTGCAAGTTTAGATTTTTTAGATACCACATACAAGTAAGATCATACAGTGTTTATCTTTCCCTAACATTTCACTTAGCACAATGCCCTTAAGGTTCATGTTATCACAAATGACAGGATTTCCTTTTTTATGGCTGAATAGTATTCATTTATATGTTGTGTATCATGTTTTCTTTATCCATTCATCCATCAATGGACACTCAGGTTGTTTCTTTGTCTTGGCTGTTGCAATTATTTATGTAAAACAGTGGAGGTTCCTCCAAAAGTTAAAAATAGGATTACCAGGGCACCTGGGTGGCTCAGTCGGTTAAGCGTCTGCCTTCAGCTCAGATCGTAATTTCAGGGTCCTGAGATCAAGCCCCACGTCGGGCTCCCTGCTCAGCAGGAGTCTGCTTGTCTCTCTCTCTGCCTGCCGCTCCCCCTGCTTGTGCGCCCTCCCTCTCTCTCTGTCAAATAAATAAAATCTTAAAAAAAAAAAAATCCACTGTTATTTAAAAAAAAAAAAATAGGATTACCAGAGGATACAGCAATTTCACTTCTGGGTATATATCCAAAGGGGAAAAAAAAAATCAGTGTCTCAAAAAAATATCTGCCTCTCCATGTTCATTGTAACATTATATACTAAGATTTTTTTTTTAAAGATTTTATTTATTTATTTATTTGAGAGAGAGAGAGAATGAGAGACAGAGAGCATGAGAGGGAGGAGGGTCAGAGGGAGAAGCAGACTCCCTGCCGAGCAGGGAGCCCGATGCGGGACTCGATCCTGGGACTCCAGGATCATGACCTGAGCCGAAGGCAGTCGCTTAACCA